CTCAAGCTTCGTTTTACTCAAATATAAATACCGAGTGAGTACTGCTGCATACATGTACAGATCTCAAATGATCTTCTGATCTTTGTCTGTTAGGCAGACAAACAGAGAGGCGGACGAAGACACAGACTGGGAGACAGGCAGAGAGACAGGCATACGAATAAATATATAGAGAGTGTATGTGTTTGCGAGTGTGTGTGTGGGTGTGTGTGTGGGTGTGTTTGTGAGTGTGCGTGTGTGTTTGTGTGTGTGTGTTTCTGAGTGTGTGTGTGTGTGTTTGCGAGTGTGTGTGTACGTGTGTATGTCTGTGCGTGTGTGTGTGTGTGTCTATGTGAAAAGAACCAGAGAACAGGGGATCTCGTAATCCAGCAGTCTCGACTGTAACACTCTTAGTTGCTCTCCTTTTATTTCTCTTCCTACATATACAAATATTCATGCATCTGTATATATACCACCCATCCATCAAATATAAGTCATACTTAAGCACTCAGCCTTTCATCTGCAAATCCGTTACAGAGTGACTTACCGTTCAGCATTTCAGCCATTAAGAACCAATTCGCCTGAGTCGAATGATATGTGCTGTCATTTTTTTAGCTGTTAAATCCTTCCATTAAAACGCCAGCTCACAATAATAGTGACAGAGGCTTTTGCTGTGGCGTCTGTCGAGTGAGTTTCTGCCTGGAAGCAGCTGTCCTTCAGCTTCATTTGTATGTAAATGCCCCTTGGCAACAGCGGCAGGAGCAGCAGGAGTAGCAGGAGCAGCCGGAACTGCTGTTAGAATATTTTTCGGGTGCTGTCAGCCAGCGTGCACAGTGGGACGAGTACTGCCTGAACACACACACACACAAAATTGACTCCAATTAAAATTTTAAATTAGAAAACCGTACGACTACACGCCCAGCAAACAATCTAAAGATGCAAATTTATTTGTAAGCAAAGTGTCGGCTCGTTTCTGTTCTCTCAGTGTATTTATTTGGCCTTGCCACACAATTGTTGCCACGTGGACAGCCTCAGTGTGGCACGTGTAACCGCACTTACTTAAACAATATTCTTATTTATATTGTTATATAGACATTTATGAGCTTATGCTGGGCATTAGTTGAACGCACTCTGGCTCCTGCTCCTGCTTCTGCTCCTGCTCCTGCTGCTGCCGCTGGCTGCTGCTGTCTCTTTGGATTTAGCTGGAAACTTTTGATTGCTTGCCTCAGCCGCAACGCACGTCCATCAGCTGTTACCTGATATGCGCCGTGTTGGCCGAGTGTGAGCAAGTGGGCCAACGCCAACGGCTTGACACAACTAGGTCGCTGCCGTTGCTCCGCTCGCTTGTTTATAAAACTGGTTCAAGGAGACAAGCAACAACAGCTGCAGCAACAAAATGTCGTACTAAAAAATGGTGGCAACAATTTTGTTAAGGGGAGACTGAGAGAGAGATAGAGAGAGAAAGGCAGGCTTGGCATTTCACACTCGTGGCAGTGACAAACATTTAGCGTGAAACTATTTTTTAATGAGCTCCGGCAAATTTTCTACGGAACTCAGTTTTTCGTTTTCGTTTTCGTTTTCGTTCTCCCTAGTTTTCATTTGCGATTGATTTTTCAGCCTGTGGCTGGACACCTTGGGCGCATTGGCAATAGTGGGCGTGGCCATTCGAATGAATTTGGGCCCATTGTTGCGACTTAACAATTGTTGAGCCGGAACATATACGCCCACAGCCAGAAACTGGGCCAACTCATCCAAAATGGCAACAAGCACGCAATTTGTTGCCATAGCCAATTTTGCCTTTGTTGTTGCTGCTGTTGTTGTTGTTGTTGTTGTTGTTGCTGCTCTTTGTGTTTAAAGCAGCTCAACAAAGTTGTTTACATTTTTTATGATGTTTTTGTGCCACATTGCGTGCCTCCATTGGACGAAATACTATTGAGATGTTATTAAGTCTTCAATTTTTGTTAAAAGCTTAAAGTTCTTAGTGGGTCAAAGGCGGCTTAAAGTCGAGTTTAAATATTTATCTACTAAGGCATTTTTTCCTAAATGAAAATGCACCCGAAAGACAGACAATTTTCTGGGAATATATATATATTTATTTTTTTAAAAGCTCTATCCTCAGAATTTTTTATAGTCGAGTACTACCCATAACTTATTTAAAGCCATTAAGCTAGCTCAGCCATGCCGGTCAACAGACAACAGAAAGTCTTATCATTTGCCCAAGTAGCAGCTGTTCCTTTGTTTATCAATCAATTATCAAAACACGTGCGCTTGATATTTTCCAGGCGAATGGATTTAACGGCTAGACTTGAGTTGATTTCTGTAAATAAATGCCTAACAACCGGCCGAATGCAAATCAAGAGAATTCTCAAAATATATGCATATATTTTATTCAAGTGTCTGCTGCCATTAAATGTAGTATAATTTCACAAGAAAATGCGTATACGCAACGTTGCCACAAACGATTCTGAATGCCTCTTGACTTTGGCTTTTTGCCAGTCTCTTGGTTATTCTGGCTTTCACACAGTATTAAGCGTTGTCAACAGCATGTTTTAATTTAACTAATGAATATTCAGAGAGCGGACCACATCAAAGGCAAAACGCTTTTATCATTTTAATGAAACATTGCACCCACACCGCTACCATATAATTTCCATAAACGTCGAGAAATTTAATTACTCAAACGCTTAAAAGATCAACGAGTTATGAGCCATAAAACTGGTTTTTAGCACCTATTCAATTCCCGTGCTGGCCATCGCAGCTAAGACATTTATCATAGTTGCTGGCAAACGACGCCAATTGAATAGTTGACCTGATAAATTGACTGACATTGAGGCTTAACTCTAACTAACGGAGTTCAATGACTTGCCAAGGTCAAGGAATTTCATGTTCCTACTGCAAAGCACTGAGTATTTTCCGGAATTCCTTGAACAGCCTATATTTGCCAATGAAAATGTTATCTTAATTACATTCTTGGCGTATCTTTGATGTTTAGGAAAATAGTCAACTATATTTTCTATTCACGCAGGAAAAATCACAGTCTATTTATGTGTATTTCCCAGCTGAAATTAATTATGAATTAATGTTAAGAGACACAGAAAAATTTCCCATGATCAATCAAAACTTGGTCTTTGGAGTATTTCAACTATCAACTTCGCACATTTTTCGCCTCCTAATTAGCCGTCTGTTTCTTTGGTAGTTGTGTTGGCCAATTTGCATTTTAACACTTGCTGCTGTTGCTTCTACAGCGGCTGCTCCTCCTCCTGCTACTGCGGCTGCTGCTGCTGTCCTGCTCGTGGCTATTATGTTAATTTCTCTTTCGAGCAGCTGGCGCACATTTTACGAATTACCAAGCAGCCAAAAATTCAAAGCCAAGGACTTCCTGGCAGCCGCCACTTCTGCTGGCCTTCGTCTAAGTAATTCACGAAAATTTGCCACAATTGCATTCGAAATTCTAGCCATCAAGCTCAAATTAACACACACACATACAGACACCCACCCACACTCTGCTCCATTAAAAATTTAAATCTGCCAGCTACACGAATATGAAGTTTTGATGGTTTGTGTAATGAAATTACCAAACCAAGTTGAAACAGAGAATTCTGATTGAGTTACATGATTGAAGATTAAGAGCAAAAAATATGTCTAAAGGTCATGTAGTTAATATAGATTTCCAGGAAAAAAATAAGCTACTTTAAATTATATTTCCATCGAATTTAAATCTCATTATGAAGTGAATGAATAAAACACTTAATTGAGTTCATGCGAAACGCATAGTTGCTGCAATGTTTCAAGTGAAATTTAGTTCTCGTCGAGCTGCTTGTAATGCAATGGATTATAATACACATTCAACTCCTCATGCACTTAAAACATATATACTATATTTAAGTCCATAAACTGACAAATTAAATTTAGGCATTCGCATGTTATAGCCAGTGTGTTGAGCTGAGTTTTTGTAGTCAAATAGTTCAGCATGCGTGAGATGACCCAAAATACTTGCATTCCTTTGAGCATTGCCACGAGCAGACCACAAAAGTGAGTGTGTGAGTGTGTATGGGTGTGTTATTGCAATCCTTGCGAGTCTAGCAAATGCTGACAACATTCTCAGCATGCTTTAGTTTTTCGTTTATTTACTGGCAGCGTTCTTTGACTCTATATTACTACGTCAACATTTTATTGTTGTGAAAGTTTATTGACACGCTGACACAAACGCAGAGGCAGAAAGCGCGAGAGAGAGAGAGAGAGAGAGAATAATTTAAAAATTTGCTTTCATTTGCCACACTCAGCCACAAAATGTCAATGGCCACAACATGAAATATGGAAAACTGCAAATCATCGAGTCATGCATGCATTTACAATGGCATTTAAGATACAAATTTCACACATAAATAACGGAAAAGTTCACAGAAAGACAGAGATAGAGGAAGCCTGAGATAAATTGTATGAGAAATGAGCAGCACAAATAATTCCAGGAATTTGAAGCAAACCAGAGAATATTTTAAGTCAATAATAAAATATACTCTCAGCCAAAAATGATGGCCAAAACCAGTCGAGCGTTTAGCTGAGCTAAAACAGCAATTACGCCCAGCAAATTTATGTAAAACATCTGCTAAATCTGGCGTTACGTAAATGCTTTGGCCTTTTCACTGGCACTTTGGGGGCAATTTGTTTTGGCTGAGTTGGCCTTTTGGGCTTGATTGGAAAACATCCGATAATGTGAACTAGTTGAAGTCGGACCATATATCATAATGAAATAGCAACAATCATGATGAAAATTCTGCCATTAGCAGCTACGAATTGGGTCATCAGTTTATCATTATTATTATTTATTATATATTATTTATTACTGTTGCCTTTGATTGAGTTTTGGCTTTTGGCCTGTGAGAGATTTTGTTGTCGCTTCGCACGCAATTGAAATTGAAAGTTGAATATTTGACTTTGATTACCAAGCTAATTAATCAAAGTTCAGATTATGAATATTGGAGATATCACTGCTAATTATTTACAGTCAATAAATGTCGTTTAGCTCGAGAGTTACATTAAATCATATTTTATTAGGTTAATTTATCATAATATAAAAGATAGCTTAAGTCGTTTACTTATGACCAAGGTAAACCAAGTTCTCTGGAAAACTCAAAGGCATCTCGCTTGGCTCATCCTCCGGCCAGGCCGAACTAGAAATAATATTTGGTGTGTATTACATACGCTTACTGGCTAATAAACTATGTCAAGTATCACTTAGATAAAACCTACGAATCACCAATTGTCAGATGACGCCGCAAGGACACTTTGGCGGAGCGCTGCACGCGCGAGGGGCTCGATTCGTGCATGCAACGCTGGCCAAAATGGAGCAATGGGCGCTCTACAAATCTGTGATTGGTCTTAAGAGCTAGCTAATCCTTAAGTACTATAAGTGTAAAGAGAGTGGTTGTAGTTGGGCTTGTGTTTGTGTTTGTGTTTGTAACTGTTGTGGGCGTGCTCAATTTACAGCCACAGCGCATCGATAGCTTCGTCTAGGTCGTCGGCATGGGATCGGGACAAGCGTTGCGGCGTTTTCTGCAGGGACTTCTGTTCGCTGACAACCACCGCCTTGGCCTCCATCTCGTTGCCGCTGAGCAGCACCATGAGCAGCACGCTGCTGCGTCTGGTGTGCGACTCCAGCTCCTGCTGCTGTTGCTCCAGCAGCTGCGGCAGCTGCTGCGGCTGTGACTGATTGTTGCGCAACTTGCGCAGCCAGTCAGTGGCAGGCCAAATACATTTACCGCCCACGCTGCCACGCCGGCGACAGGCGTCCCTTGTAGCTCTCTGGCTCCTGGTGCAGCAGGGGCTGCTGTGTGGTTTATTGTTTCTGACAGTGTCGTTCGGCTGCAGCATTTCAACCACGCAAATGTCATCAGTAGCACCAATTTCGCTGGCGCATTCATCAACATCAGGCGCTGTTTCAGTCATTGATGCTGCTGCTGCCGCTGCCGCAGAGGCCATTGTGGTTGTTGTTGTTGCCGCTGTCGACACTGCCCTGCTGCATTCCTGCTACACGTTCGTCACTTGCGTCGTCAGGCCCAGATCAATGGCCATGCTCTTGCTAACAGCATCCGTTTGCACCAGTCGCTCCCTGCCATAGCCATTCAACCGACCGCCAGCACCGTCGCGACCGTCGCCATCATGCTGCGACAGAGGAAGCCATTTGTCGAGCCAGCGCGGCCGGAATAGCAGCGTGAAGGTGCTGCGAAACTGTCGACTCATCGAGCAGTAGAGTATGAAATTAATGCTCGAATTAATAAGTGCCAAGATGTCCATTAGGTCACCTAAAATGAGACATACGAATGGAAAGGCAATAAGCGTCAGCGCAACTAACGGCTGCACTCTGCCAAGCAAGCCGTGTTGCTGTTGGCAGAATGCGTAACAATAAAAAGAAAACTTACAACTAGTTGGGCTGCCTCTTTTGAAAGAGATGTACAAAGAGATTTATAAATATATCAAAAATATGTTAAATCACATTCTGAGAAAAGCCCAGAGAGCAACCGACATCGCCTCATTAACGAGCTCGTTCGCGATCGGCTTGATTGGATTTGCTCTTCTCTCTTCCCCGACCATTTGATTGCATGCCTTAGTATGAGTGGGAGAGCAGTCTTCAGTAATCACATCGATAACGTGCATATGTATGTGAATGTGATGACCGCTTGCACTGAATTTTTCTCACTGACTCTCATTATGCGAACGCCAATCGTGTCGCTCGCTAAACAATGTTCGTTGAAAGAGCAGCACACGAATAGTTCACGAAAAGAACCGAAGTTTCGTGCACAGAGCAAGATGCGAGTGAGCATGAATTTTGTTCGTTGATATTGCGAAGTGAGTGCAAAGAATGAAAGGGACAACTGTTTTTGCAAGCTTTGGTTTAAAATGCAAAAATATCGAAACAATAGAAATATATCGATAGCGGAGTTTAAAAGGACTTTACGATAAATGAGTTTTTATTCTTTATGCACATCTGGTCACATCGCTTTTCAAATTATATTTAAATCACGCCCTGAGTTTATTTAATAAAATGTCCCAACATTAAATTAAAATTAGCTGTACTTAATCCAAAGCTAATACTCACTCAGCTTAAGGTAGCACTGCATGAGAAACGCATCGCCGAGCATCGCATTCAGCAAACCCATGATACCCTGTGGAAATTCTGTAATGAGAAACAGCAACAGCACCGCCAACAGCATGCGTGTGGTGCGATCCGTTTGCTTCTCCTTCTCCAGCAGCTTGCAGCTTTTGGGTTGCGTGGGCGTGACGACCTTGCCGTTGACAATGGGCTGCATATCGTTGGCCGCATGGCAGGCGAGTATCTTGCGTCTCTTTTTCGCCTCCAGCAGAGCGCCAATCAGGCGCACGGAGAGCACGGTGAGGGCAAAGCAGGGTATCAGCTTGATCACCACGCTGTAAATGAGAAATGTGGCATTGCGCAGAGGTCGATCGTGCAGCGCCAGCTCGCTGTGGTACAATTTGTAGACCGTCACGTTGCGCTCTCCCGTGTCGGGTAGAACTGTTGTCATTGGGGTGGGCAAATCTGTGGAGGAACTTGGCATGTTGACCACTGTGGTGTTGCTGCCGCCCGTGGCCACAGACCAGGCCATGTCCGGCGTGGTGCTGGACATCACTTGCATCGTGATGTGCTCCTCGTTGTTGTAGTCCAAGATGTATTGACTCAAGGGCACGGACCGAATCGTCTTGCCATTGGCATCCAGTGTCTCCAGAAACTTGGCTATCGCAGTGACCAAATAGAGCCACGGCGACACCACCAGCACGCACACCACATAGGCTGTCGCTATGGTTATTGTGGTGGTGCGCATGCCGCACCAAATCCGATTACGCTGCGGATAGCTAACGGCTATGTAACGCCAGACGGCCAGCGTAACTGTCAGCCAAATGGAGATGGTGTGAAGCACTTGCGCAAAGATCGAGTGAAACTTGATGAAGCAGGCCCAGCCATAGCTGAGCTGCTGCTCACGCGGCAGACGCGCGCTGAGTATGTAGTCGTGCACAGTATAGGGTATATACTCCAGCATGACGGCCAGATCGGCCACGGCCAGGCCCGTGAGTATCGCATTGGTGGGGGAGCGCATCTCGCGACGCGTCAGCACAATTATGTTCAAGGTGTTGGCCAGGGTGCCCAAGATGCAGACGATGAGCGAAAAATAGCCATGGATATATTTATAGCTGTGTGGATTAGAGGAAATAACAGTTGAATCAATACTCAATATAAACAAAATTAAAATGAACTGTGAAAATATGCAGCTTCCTGCTCATTAGGCAATTTGCGGAGTCATGCTGATGGGATGAATGAATATTCAGTATACGCAGCGTATAATCAGCTCCAAAAAATACATTTCATGGCAATTAAGCAGGTGATCTTCTTATGCACACGCCAGTTCACACGTGGGCAAGAAAATTATTATGTAAATTACATTTAAACCAAGAAACAACAGCAACAACAAAAAGTAATTAGTACTCTGACACGGCAGGCCATGCCGCATGCCGCATGCCACATGCCACTTGCCACTTGCCACTTGCCGCATTCTGTATTCCGCCCATTCCAATCAACTTACTTCGTGTGAAAATCATCGACGCTAGCGCCGCAATAATGCGGCTCCGACATGTTCGTGACCATGTTGTCAATTTTGGTCGTCAGATGACGGCGGTGGGGGAAGTTGAGGTGGTGGTGGTGATGGTAGTAGGTGTGGTAGTGTTTGCCTCGCCTGATTGCGTCCGTGGTGTGAATGGCCAGGCGGAGTCGCTATAACAACCGCTACTTGGGACTGTGGCCTTTGTGGCCCTGGCAGCTGCTGCTTCAGTTGCGTTTCAGCTGCTCGCTGTCAACATCAAGCCGCGCCCCGAGCTCTGCCTCCTCATTAATATTCTTGCGCTGCGGTCGCCCTTCGATATTCCAATACTTAAATTGTTTCCTCTATGCTCGTTCCGTAGCTGAAATTAAATAAGCCAAATATTTATACAGCTCTAAATTATGGCAGACAAATTATAACGTGTTGCCCTCAGTTCGTGTTGGCAGCGAACAACTTTGCCTGGCCACATGCAAATACTAAATTAAATACAACGTGTCATTAATTCAAGTTGAAGTTCAAGTTGAGACTGAAGTTGAAGTTGAAGTTGAAGTTGAAGGAAGACAAATTGGGCATTTTGCTGACTGAAGAAGCCGAAATTATTCAGCTGTGAATGACAAGTTGGAAAATTTTGATGCAGGTAAAGGTGAAATTGGCTCTACAGCTCATGTTTGCTATATACTTTTAAAGGCAGACCTTTAACAGCTGGAGCAAAGCATTTAAGACAGCGCAACTCTGACAAAAGCTTTCACAATTATAAGCCATAACTGTTCATGTCCGGCAGGGTTTGGGCCAAGTAATTGGCCAAAAAGAAAGCGAATACTAATGCGTGAACAAATAGTTTACAAGCTCAACGGAAAGACGAAGCAGCTGCTATCAATGTTACGCATACGCCAGTTGAGCAGAAGAGTTGAAGAAGTGTGCTGTTACAAGTCATTTGTCTTCACATTAGAAAAGTTCTGCCAGCTGCTGTGATCAAAGCAAACTTTTGGTTGTCCACGTTGGCCATGTCCATGAGCAGTTGGCTGCGGGCCAGCAGCCGCCAGCAAAGACCACACACACACTAAAGCACACATTACGTATACGCAATGTGAGTAGCATGAAAAGAAATGTCATTGCAGTGCTCGGTGCTCGGTGCTCGGTTTGTGCATGCCTCACTTGGCTTTTTGCACTTCGTTAGCCACATTTGGCTCTGGTTGAACTTTGCTGAACGTTGCTGCAACTGCAAATATAAATGTGGCTCCCACATGGCCCGAGTCGTCTGCAATATTTAATTAAAACTTTTCGCCCAGCACTTGGGTCTAACCCTTCGCAAATAGATGAAAAACATTCCTTGGCATTGTATATCTGTGCAGCATATGTTGGCATATTTTCGGTCACTCGACAAGCTATTGTCAGCAGCTCCTTATCTGCGGCGCCATCCAGCCTCGTTGAGTCAATTGTAAGCCTAGCTTGACCTAGTTGGAGCAACAAATTGAGGCATAATCTACTGGCTCTATTGGCTGCCACATCTGCAGCTAACGAGCTGCGTATCGGTGCAAATTATGCAACATAATTAAACTGTGAAGAGCCTGGCATATTTGCAAGCAAGTGAAAGTCAATGGGCGTCAGCTGCTGGCTGGCTGGTTGGCAGGGTAATTAAAACTAGGCCAGTGTCTTCAAATAGGCCATTATTGAGCCGTGGACGGTGCTAATGGCCTAAACGGCTTCATTAGATCATTTAAATAGAGTTTGCTTTGGCATTAAATGCCCACTGCTTGCCATGTTTCATTTCATGCCACGAAGTCCTTAGCGGCATCAACAAGTTGTTCGATGGTTGGGCATTACGTGACTTGCCTCGATTTGCACGCCTTGCGCTTGCTTGAGTCTTCCCAGACCAAAGAAGATGCTAATGTGCCCAGCTGCCGAATACAATGCTCTTAGTCGTTAATGTGCGGCATACGGTGCGTATACGTTTTTATTTGAAAGCATCAGACCGTGGCCTGTCTAAGCATACGACTGACTGACTGACTGACTGACTGAGTGACTGCTGGACTTTGAGGCCAGCTGCCAGCCTGGTCTAGGGTGTGGTTGCCAAGTAATTTAAGCTATTTGTTTATTACTGTTTCGCACAGTTCTATGAAGACCTACACAGAATTCAATTAAGTGTGGCCCAGGCACATGCTGTGCTTTAAATAAGCAGAGGGCGGGAGCGAGAGATTCTGAGAGAGTGGGAGTGGTAGCGGGAGTCCTGTTCTAGCCTATTTTATGTGGTGGTCTTTGTAGTAAAAGCTCAAGTCAGGCACATGCTGTGCATTTAGATGGGCCACTTTGCTGGGCTGAAGCACAACTTCAATAATTACATTTGAAGGACTATTTGAATGACTGATAGTC